AGTTATTGTATCTTAAGAGACAAACGACCAACGATCTCAAGCACAAAGGAGTGACCGAAAATTTGTCTTAAGAAAATTGTGTAGTGACATGCCTCAACTGTTTCCGATCAATTGATCAATCAAACAAAAAAGTAATGTCACAACCCAAAATAGAGCCTAAATTTTCTTAATTTTTTTCAAGGATTAAATTGAATTTTAATTGAATTCGGGGACCGAAGTCAATTTTGATTAATTTTGGATCCAAATTCAAAAAGTAATTAAAGGTGGAGGACCTATGGAATGATTTTGCCATTTTTAAGGGTTTATATAACCCCAAATCTGGGGGGAAATAAAGTTTATTTTTCTCTCTCTCTCCAGAACATTTCCATTTATAGAAGGAAACATTTGATCATCGATTCATCGTCGACCATTGCTCCGTTTTCAACACCTCCCGTACCATTATGTTTCTTGCGTCGTCCCAATTCCACTGGTGTCCTTTTTATCTCCGTTGTTGTCAGCATGTGAGGGCTTGAGGAATATCAAATTTTCAACGTTTTAGAATCGAGCTCTCCGTCGTTCATCGTTGTGAACCGATTTTGGTAAGTGTCTCAAAACCCCTTAAAATAGTTGTACGAATTTTTACGGAATTTTTTCAACCCTCTACGACCCTGCATACGCCACCCCTGAGAGTGGGAAAAGTCACCGCTTGGTCCGATTCAGTTAACCCGACCCGCTAATTCCACCCTCCTGCCTGACCCGATCTGACATGGTCCAACGTTGGTTGTTGATCGTTGACTTTGACCAAAAAGTCAAAATTTTTAAAATGTCATATTTTATGTTTTTCGATGTCCGATTTGCCAAATTCAGACCCCGAAATCCCCGAATCGAGCTTGTTAACCCAAAAATGCTTAGTAGTTTTAGCATTTTTACTTATTTATTTGAGATTTGGTTATGGAATTGATCCAATAAGATATTTTTATGAAGGTACTCGTGTTTCACCTGATCGAGGGCCAATTAGGTCTGGTGTTTCCCGTCCATCAGATCCGCTCAATCTGCGTTCTACGAAAATTACCCGTAGGTTTCTGTAAATTATTTAAATAAATGTTAATATTATTTATGTTAGGATTCCGATATGCATTTTCCGATTCATAGGATCTAGCGCTGCCGCTGATCGTGATCGACAAACTCAGTAGTAGGCTTCCCTATCAGACTACTCAGATCGATACAGGTGTGTTTCCTGATGGTGTTACATTACTGTTTTAAACTACCCATTTGAATTGTTTTAGATTTGTGATAATTCTGAATATTTTTATGACACGATACCTAATTTCTGAATATTTCTTATTCGACATCTGATTTACCGTATATTACTGATTTGATTTCTGATTACTGTATTTCTGTATATGATTTCCAAGCATGAAACATTTTCATGTTTTAATGGATTAATTATCGTTTTCACTCGAATACATACATGTTTATTATTGTCATTTGAGGTATTGTTGGAGGAAGTTTCTTAAGGCTCATTTGTTATGTGTAAGGGTAAGACCTTACCATTTCTGAAGGCTTCTTTGCTATGTGCAAGGGTAAGACCTTACCATTTCTGAAGGCTCCTCTACTATGTGCTAGGGTAAGACCTTACCGCTTTCCGCAGGCTCTTCGGCTTTGTGCACAGGGTAAGTCCTTACTGGGTGTACATGTGGATGTATGATTCTGGGGAACCTACACATTCTAGTGATATGACAGGGGTAGTGTTCATGTTTTTAAAACATGTTTGATAAACTGATTTTATTTAAATACTTTATCTGTATGTTTTTTACACCGTAAGGAGCATACTGAGCTTTTTAGCTCATTCCGTAAATTTTAACATTTTCAGATAATAACAGACTTGGCATCAGGAGGATCGACTACTCCTACTTTTGTACTACTGTATATCTCTATATGTCTTTCAGTTATATTTTGGTGACGTGTTTTGCTACCGTTTTGATATATCTGTATAACCGATATTTTGTTTCGTAAATGTTTTATACGGTTTTCTATGGTATTTTGATATGTATATGTGTTATACAGTTTTCTGACATATATATACATATATGTTTATAATATGAATATTTTATATGGATTTTAATGTTGGTTTAAATATGAAAAGAATCTCTGAAAGCGATATGTGATCGCCTAGATTTGAGAAGGGGTTGCAAGTAATTTTCTTTCTATATAATTTTATTTATTATTTAAGAAATTTAATTTCATATTTTATCTTCTCAGGTGTGATTATGATATCAGATATTTATACTTCTAATAATCCTAAGAAAGTAAATTTGTTACATATCATTTTTTTATAATGATATGATTATTATCATCATTATTATTTTCCATGTTATTTTTGAATTAATGACTTTTTCTAACATGTTGATCGTAATTTTCTAGTTAGGGATACGAATATAAATACATTGATTGTTAAAATAATTAAAAATTTAATCATGACAGATATTTTTAAAATTTAGAATTTTTATTCATAATGAAAATTTATTATATAACAATTTAAAGTTTAATTAATTATTATTTCGAAGTTTACAGTTTTACTTATTATACCTATATATTAAATCCTCGTGAAGAAGTATTATTATACAGGTAATTATCATCATTATCGACAAATAATATACTATGAAGTTTTTTTCAATTAAATTAATATATTTCAGATAAAATTATTTTAACAAAATAAAGAGTCGTCTTATTAGCATCTCATCGAAGTTAGAAACACGAAGGTTCATTTTTATAAAATTAAAATTTATTAATTTATAATATTATATAATTATATTTTCTCATTTTCGGTTGTCTATGAGATCAATCTTCTTTTATTTTATATTTTTCATTTAATAAAGTATACGTTAGGCAATAATGCAGAGGTTAAGAAGTAGTTATATTTAATTTTTCAATAAAAGACAAATGGATTTCATTTAAATTCCCATTGCCACGCGCGTCAACAGGGCACTGTAACACAAAGTACCATCGAACGATCAGTATATCTTTTAAATAGTTGGAGAACGTATAGGTGAGCCGTCAGATTGAAGCACACGTAACGCATCGAAAAGAGAGAGTGGTATTAGTATGCAAAACCCGGTAGTCATTTAACTACTCTACTAATTCCCACGTTTCATTGTCATTTAAAATAATTGTGTTTTACTTTTGGCTAACCATGATTAAGAATTTTAAAAAAAATTATTGATATAATTCATTAATAAGTACCTGAACAGGAAATATGCTGAAGTTTATGTCAGGGTATGCTATTTTAAAAAATTATATTAATAATTTAGAGTTAAAAAATTATAAATTTTTAATGTAAAATTTAATCATTAATAAAGAATATGAAAAAAAATTTAAATTTTAAAGAATATAATTACCATCAATATTTAATTCCCTCTATTTATCTCCACGTCCAATGTACTATAATATTCTTAATATAAAATAAATAAATTTAAGTCTTAAAAATAATATTATTAAAATGAATAATCATAAGTCATGAATATAACGAATGTGAAAAGTAAAAATATTAAATTACAAAATATTATAAATAGTAAATAAATTTAGGCTAGGAAATTTGTTAAGGAAACCTTTTTATTTTAAACTTTAATAGTTGAGTAATTTTTGTCTATTTAAAAAGTTGATGTTCTTCATGGTTTAAATAATTTTTGTTTTTATATAATGAGTTTTTTTTGTTATTTTATTAAATATTTTTATATTTAATAAAAATAATTTTTGTTTTTTTGTTATGCATTTTATTTTTAAAAGTTAGATTTGATGAGATTTTTTTAGTTGATACTTCCTCTATCTTATTAACTTTGTCTTATGTTGATTTTCTAGTCAATTTTTTAAAATTTTACTCGTTATTATTTAAAATTTATTATTGATAAAAATATGAAAAATATATGTTTTAAAAACTTTAAATCAAATAGTTTTAAATATATATATATATATTTTAATTTTTTTTAAATATTTAAAATAATTATGATTAAAGTTTAAAAATATTAATATTTTTAAAAGTTAATAATAAACACATTTAATGAGACGGAAGAAATAATTATTTGTTTATATCATATATTGTATAAACTTTTGGACCAGTTCTCTTATATATGTTCACAATCATCTCATATGAGTTATGTTTCAATAGTTATAAAGTCAGTTGTTACTTGTTAATACGTTTCTAGCTTTATATTTAATTTTATGTTACTATTGATAATATCATTGATAACGATGTTTGATATCTTTTATTTATTGAACTGACGATACTTATCATTTATCATCGATAATTGTGTTTATTTATATATTTTATTTTTATCTAAATTATATATTTGATACTTAAATTATTATTTTTATTTAATTTTTGTATCTAAATTTTATTTTTTAAATTATACCTAACATTTATTTTAGGTTTTAATTTTTTATCCACCGTTAAAAAAATTAAACAAACTATTGACATGGTATTTTTTATTTTTTTTAATGATAACGTGATATTATCTTATGATGACATGTTAATATCATCGTTAAATTTTAACGGTGAAGTACTAAAATGATACCTAAACTTAATGTTATATATGATTTAAAAAAAATAAAAGTTAAGTATCATAATAGAAAAAATAATAGTTTAAGTATTAAACATATAATTTCTTAAGTATTAAACGTATAATTTATTTTTTAATAGTTGTTTGGTTGAATATTTTTAACATTAGATATATCTTTATTATTTATTAATTAGTTTGTGTTTTTATGGTTTTAAAATAATTGACTTGCTAATATGATTGATTTATTTATTTTTATAAATTTATATTGCTTAAGATTATAATTTTATTATATTTCGTTTTATTTATTAATAAATTGACTGTTTTTATCATGTAAAAATAATAATAATAGAAACATTTTTTTATCTTTTTAATTTCGCTTTTTATCTTTGTACAACTCAGCCATTTTGTTTTCTCATTAAAAGCACCTTTTCAACAAAATTTCAGCTTCTCATTCACCAATCTACTCCCAGTTTTTCTTTTTCCATTTCTCTTTCTCTAGAATTTCTTCTGGAGGGAGAAGAAAAAAAAGGAAAGAACTTAGAAAATTGTTTCCATTTTTATGATGTTGAATGTTCATCAATCTTTCTAGAAGGATCTTCCCTCCCACCCTCTCCTCAATTCAAATATCATATCTTTCTTCCTTTGATTTCCTTTCCATCGGGAAAAAGAGAAAAAAATCCCATTTTTATGCTGTTTTTCTTTGTCCATAATCCTAGATCTATACAACCCAATTCTTGTTTTCACCAGATTAATCCAAATTCTCTTCTATGTGTCTTTAGTTTCTTCTTTTTCCTTGTAAAGTTTCAATCTTGTTGTTCTTATAAATCATTATATTATATGCACTACTTGTTATGCTAACTGTAGAAGAAAGTTCCATTTTCTGTTCATCAAATCAAATCCCAGAATTTTCCCTGTTTTCATGTAATGGGTTGTGCAAGTTCCAGGCAAAAACGATGCTGGCACTGTCGGGCACCATATTCGCCTGTCCCAAGGAGTTACACGATGCACGTCCATCATCCTGCACAACACCAAGGCGACAGCTACCATGTGGTGGCATTAACATCCACCACATTAGGCAATCTCAAGGTAGAAGAATCAAACCACCAAAGCAATGGCAATAGCTTCAATGGAAATGTTGTTGAAAGCAAGGAAAAAAGCAAGCTTGAAGCCCAAGTCTGGTCCAAATTGATTGAGAATAAGCTCCCAAAAATTGTCCCCAAAACTCCCATAAGAACTCCCCCTGGGGAGCCTGAAACAATCAACACTTGGGAACTAATGGCCGGCCTTGAAGATTCGAGCCCTCGTCCTCCAACTCATTTCAAGAGCTTTTCAGCTAATGAAAATAGCTTTGTGTGTTCAAAGCCTTTGTGGGCTCAATTTGAAGAAGAAGATGAGCAATCAGATTCAGTGATGATCACAGATTTTGATCCAGAAATCATTTCTAGCTTTAGGAATACACTTGAACAGCTTCCTTCTAGTAACCCTTGTACCATCGAAAAGGTTCAATGTAAGCTTAATAAGGATAAGGTCATTTTGTATTTCACAAGTTTAAGAGGTGTAAGGAAGACATACGAGGATTGCTGTAACGTTAGGTTGATCCTCAAGGGCTTAGGGGTTCGTATCGACGAGCGAGACTTGTCAATGCATTCGGGGTTTAAAGACGAACTGAGAGAGCTCTTGGGAGAAGGGTTTAAAGGCGGATTAACGAGGGTGTTTGTAGGGAAGAGATACATTGGAGGAGCCGAAGAAATAAAGCAAATGCACGAAGAAGGTTCCCTAGGGGAGGCCATTGCAGGGTGTGAAATGGTGGATGATGACGATGATGTTGGTGCTTGTGAGACTTGTGGAGATATCGGATTCGTGCCGTGCGAGACTTGCTCCGGAAGCTGCAAAGTCTATTACGATGAAGATGAGGGTGAGTATGGATTCCAACGATGCCCCGATTGCAACGAAAACGGACTTATCCGATGTCCGGTCTGTTGCGATTAAATCCCCATCACGAATACGATCAATTACGATGAGTATCGAATTCATAAAAAAAGTATGGAATTTTTTTCCTATGTGTTTATTTATTTTCATTTGGTTTGTGAGATGTGTTTCAATTTGTACAGTGAGAGTGAGGAGTTTGAAGAAGATAAAAAGTATTTGTAATAAGCAGGCAGGGTTTGTTCATCATAAGATTTGTGCTTTAATGGACGCTTTACTTATTATGTCCCACAAAAGAAACTTGTAACAAATGGAACACCACACTTTTAAGATGTTCCATTATACCTTTTTTTTTCTTCTCTCAATCTTTAAGTAATCTTAACATTAAAGATTTAAATTACGATATTGTAATATTCTGTTCAAGTTAATTAATAAATTAAATATTTATATATTTATATATATAAAGAAAACTTGTAAAAATTTTGAGTGGTAATATATTGAGGCATTGAATTTCAAAACTAAGCTATAATAGAGCAGGTTGAGGATCATGTGAGATGCTTAAAAGAGTTGGATATTAGCTCACTGCCATTAATGAAAATATAAATAATACAATTAAGCTCCTTGTTTCATATTCATTGGGGGCGTTGGGGGGCTTTAGCAATCAAATCCCAACAAGCTAATAACCCTAGTTTGAGATTTAAATTCCGAAATTTATAATTTTATCTTTTAAAATGTAATTATAATTAGAATAAACTATTTTATATAATATTGAATTTTAATATTTATGTCGATTTATCATTTTTTTAAAGGGAGAGTTTTGTATTATACTCGGGAGTAAAAATACAAAACAAGATACGAAACATGAGTCTCGTTAAAAAATTTCTCTAAACTTAGGTAGAGGGGAAAAATGCACCATGTAAGTATCGAAGAGGTAAACGTTCAACCAACAAAGCAATCAAACCAACAAAACAAACACCAAGGCAAGCTTTAACAACAGACCAACAAAAAAGCAACACACAGCTCCCCGATCAAAAAATCAGAACCAGATAGGCTGCTGCTGGACACCACTGAAAGCGAAACGCAATCCCTACTCTCCGCTCACCAATAGACACTTCGAACAAAAAAAAATAGAGGCTGACCGACTCTAAGAGCAAAAAGTCGAGGACCACCGGTTAAACACCATATTATGTAACGCTCGTAGCCATTGCAAACCAGTCAGACATTCTCCAATCTTCTAATTCCAACAAACAGCTTTAAAGCGCAAAGATCCCAGTCCATTTTTTCATAATGTCCAAAACACCACTCTCATATTTCACCACAATTAAACCAACTTAGACACTTCTATGAAGACAAAAACTGTAATACCCAAAAAATTGATTAGTGACTAAAACGTAATTTTTCCAAAAAGAAATTTTATTCTATAAATAGATAGTTCATCTTTAAGAATAGATTCTTTATGAAATTCATATTTCAATCTGAAATTTTTCTAAAGAACTAGTAAGCAATAAAGTTTAGTAAAGTATTATGATAATCGGATCGAATCGAAAGTTTACAAAAAATTTGAAGAATGTTAGTATGGGGTTTGATATTTATAATTTTAATCAGTAGAATTTAACATGGAATAGTGGGATTAAGTGGATTTTTCATGTTAAAGCTTAATAGTGAGAATGAAGTGATTAAATTGAAATTTTGGAAAAGTGCAAGGAATAAGATAAAAATTAATCAAATAAATGTTGATATTTATATAATGATGTAAGAATGGTGATGAAAGTACGGAAAAGTGGTAAATATCAAGACTGTAGAAATGAATTTTTGATTTAAAATGAATTTAAAATTCATTTTAATTAGAATTTAACAAGTGTATATAGATATTTTTGTAGAAAAATCAAAAAAACTCCTCCCTATAAATTGCGTGCACCATAGATAAAAAAAGTAAGGTTTGTTTTCTTCCTTTTTTTCTTCATTTTAGTCCTTTTTACTTTTATTTTTGAAATAAGTTGTGAAATAGAAAAATAATCTATATCAAATTCTCTACCATTTGATATGAATATTACATGACTTACATGCTTTAATCAATGATTTTGTTGCTAGAGTGGATGATGAATAAGTTGGATTTTGATTATTTATGGATATATGTTTGTGTTATTAATGCTATAAAGTTGTTTTCAAGTTTAAATAATGATCAAAATTACATAAAAAATTATATACTATTTAGTCATGGTTAAGATTCATGAAGAAATGAAAATTTTGATTAGTTTTTGTTATGGAAGTGATTGAAATTACATGGAAATGTTGTTAGGAAGATGAAATCATGCTTGAATCAAGTTGAAAAATCAAGCTTAATACACTTTAATCAATTAGGCCAAAGGGAATAAGACAAAGAAAATTGTGGAAAAATTATACACGGTCTAGAATGATGTGTGAATGATTCTACATGCTTAAAATATGATTAGGACCAATTTGGAAAATTTTGAAAGAATAGGGACTTAATTTCATAAATTCAGAAATATGGGGATTCATGTGCAATTGTTTAATAGTTGATGTGTTATGTTGAAATTGAATGTTGTAATGATGAATTTGACATTAGGATGTTTATTGGGATTAAATATTAAAATTATGAAAATAATAGGACTAATTCACATACTTTGTAAAATATGAGGATTAAAGTGTAATTATTTAATACTTAAAGTACTATGCTGGAAATTAGATTTTTAGAATGTTGAATTAATGTTAATATGAAATTGGATTACTTTGGAAAATTAGTTAAGTTTGGGATTAAATCATAAACACGGAAAAGATAAGGATTTAAGTAAAAAAAATTAATTTTTGAGGTGATATGTTTTAATTATATGCTGGAAACTTTGGTTATGTTAATTAAAACTTAAATTGAAGTTAAATATGTAAGATTGTTAAGATCGAGGACTAAATTACAAATTTGTATAAGTTATGGGTATGAAATGAAAATTGATATAACTTAATAAGTAGAAATTAAACATGTTATTGGAATGTTCGAATTTATTTTATGATGCTTGAATTTAGGATTTGTAACACCCTCAATCCGTACCCGACCCGGATACGAGTTTGAGGTGTCACATTGACTACTCAAAACATTTACTTTTACAAAATACCCAAGATTCAGTTTGATATTTCTAATAAAACCATATATTTTCTATGATATAAAATATATGCTTTTACAAAATTGATCAGAGCGTATCTAATACAAATCTTTTAAGAGAAAATAACCTCAGTGACCAAAAATGCCTTCTAATATACAATTTTAACCAACTTTTTTTGGATTTGCCAAAATGACCAACTAAATCGCAATGCGATCGATAATTCGCAACGCGATCTCCGGTATCGCAAATCAGTTTCCAGATTCGCAACGCGATTCTGACTATCGCATTGCGATTTTCCAAATTCGCGTTGCGATTTTCCTAATTCGCAATGCGAATACGTAAATCGCAATGCGAATACGTAAATCGCAACGCGAATCTGACTATCGCAATACGATTTACATAGCGTCATTCTTATCGCAACGCATAGTTTTTTTTTTCAAATTCCAAACACGAATATATTAATATATCGGAATACTGAACCGTCCACAGTATATCCCGTAATCACAACTCATAACCTAAAACCCTAAATCACAACTCAGACTCATCTCCATCTCTCACTCTCTAAGGCGACATCCGTCCCCATCTCCGACAAAATCAGTCCCCATCTCCGACGATATCAGTCTCCATCTCTGGCGAAATCATTCACGGTCAGAAATGGAAAATCAACCAAATCAACCACCGAGGGTTAGTTTTTTTAATTATTTTAATTTTGAAAATTTTGCATTATTATTAGGTTTTTCATATTGAAATTGATTATAAGTTTACTGGTGTTTTCAATAATAGATTAACCATTTCACTTAGATTGCTTATTAAATTCATTCGATTGCTGCCAATACTGCTAAACTGTTTAGTCTTTAACCCTGTGAAGTTAGTATTTATCTTTGTTTTGTCTTTTGGTTGAAGTAATGCAATCCATTCAAGTTTCTTTCAATTTTAGTATTTGAAACCGATAATGACTATCACAATGCGATTCTGTCGTTGCGATTTTCATTTCGCGTTGCGATAGTCAAATTCGCGTTGTGATAGTCATTTTCGTGTTGCGATTTTCACTTTCGTATTGCGACTTTAAGTTTCAGAAACTATTCTTCTTCTGCAAATTGAAACTTGAATGAATTGCATTACTTCAACCAAAAAACAAAGACAAATACTAAATTCACAGTGTTGCAAATTTAAGTTTGAAGAATAAACTACTACTCTTTATATTTATTGTTCTTGTTATATCTTCACAGTGTAGTTTTTGGTATATCTAACTTGGTATGTTTATTGTTTTTGCAGAACTTTTATTCGACTCAATTGACCTTAAGAAATAAAGTAAGCCTGGCCAAAATAATTGTGTTGAAGCTTTCACCTGCACAAAGAAAAATATTTGAGGATACTTGCTTCGGGCCATGGCTGAAAGTACAACATCTGGTGGAGATGCTATGTTGACCCATCTGTTTCTTCAAACCATGACTAGCGATCTACCAGAGACTATACAACGTCGTGATGAAGAGATATGGTTTGATTTTCCACCGCATATACGTGTTTTGGGCGGGAGGAGTTTTGCTTAATCACCGGTCTATGCTTCGGACACGATGATGTAGATCGGTACACTAGACATATTACCCGCCTATCATGGTTTTCCCAGGTTTTTCCTGAGCTGTCAACGGAGAAGCCGAATTTACACGTGGAAGACTTGACGAGATTATTGAATAAGAAAGATGGTTTGACGTTGATGTTGTCCGAGTATGCCTTCTAATACTTTTGCAAGCCAGCTTTTTAAGCAGAGAGGCCCGATAACCTATTCCTAATGATCTAATTAAATTGGTAGAGGACCTAAATGCATGGAACCTGTTTCCGTGGGGTTTGTATCTATGGAAAGCTACATGGAATAAGTTGTCGTCTGCCTTTGATGATCGAAAAAGTTTGCGTGGAGATGGTTCCAAATACACTTTGTCAGGCTTTATTTGGGCCTTTAAGGTAATAATTTTTATATAATGTTTCCAAAATTATAATTAATTATTTAACAATTACTAATGTTTGTTATTATATTGTTTGTAGATTTGGATATTTGAGGCATTTCCCGCCATGCAGACATATGCATTAAAAACTTCTAATGATATTTCTAGGGCTATTT